CTCTTCAGCCTGCTTTCAGGAATCGTGGGAATGGGTGGGTGGTGGTTCGGGTGAGAAAGTTGAGACGGACGAAATGAAGACAGAAGAGAATGAAAGATTATCTGTGGAATATTACTGCCTCAGCATTTGCCCAAGGAAACCACAGAAAAACTTGGACAAAGGCAGACGGACCCGGAATCGAACCGGCGTCCTCCCGTATGCTAAGCAACGGTCTAGACCTCTAGGCCATGCCGCTCGGTAGAGTAATCTAATCTAGGTCTACCTCTACCGCGCCTAACTCCTGTTCGTGCGTCTAATATGTCTGACTAGACCTTCATGCCTGGGATTCTACCAACCTATCTCGCCTATTTCGTATTGACTTCCATAGAGTCCTCTGTTCTCCTATTCTTTCCAATACCTCTTCATTTCTACCCTTCTCTATCCACGGTATCCTCATCATTCACCAGTAACACCACATTTCGAACGTTTTTAAGCTCTTCTTTTCCGCCGCGCCCACTGTCCATGTTTCGCACCCGTACAGCGTCGTGCTCCAAACATACACCTTTAACAACCTTTTTCGAATTTCTAAATTAACCGTTCGCGAGCATAGAAGTGACTTCTTTTTATTAAAGGCGACNGGAATGGGTGGGTGGTGGTTCGGGTGAGAAAGTTGAGACGGACGAAATGAAGACAGAAGAGAATGAAAGATTATCTGTGGAATATTACTGCCTCAGCATTTGCCTAAGTGGCCCAAGGGAACCACAGAAAAACTTGGACAAAGGCAGACGGACCCGGAATCGAACCGGCGTCCTCCCGAATGCTAAGCAATGGTCTAAACCTCTAGGCCATGCCGCTCGGTACAGTCTCCTGTTTCATGCCTGGGATTCTACCAACTTCGTATTGACTTCCATAGAATCTTCTGTTCTCCTGTTCATTCTAATACCTCTTCATTTCTACCCTTCTCTATCCACGGTATTCTCATCATTCGCCGGTAACACCACATTTCGAACGTTTTTAAGCTCTTCTTTTCCGCCGCGCCCACTGTCCATGTTTCGCACCCGTCCAGCGCCGCGATCCAAACATACACCTTTGACAACCTTTTTCGAATTTCTAAATTAACCGTTCACGAGCATAGAAGTTACTTCTTTTTATTGAAGGCGATTCGACCCTGCGCTATCCACTGCTTTATATCCCTGTTACTCCTTCCGTCATGTCTTATCTGACTTCCTAGATACCTAAAAAATCAGCTATTTCTTTATATTCGCTCTGTACCTACTTTTTCTTCCCTTGCCTACCAATATTTTTGTTTTACTTTTATTTATTTTCATACAGTACTGTTTTGTCAGTACCGCTTCCATTTTATTAAAAGCTGTCTCTAATTCCTCCTTGCTAGATGCTAATACTGCTGTATCATCTGCAAATCTAAGCATACTAATCTTTTGCCCCTGTATATCTATCCCTACAGTTGTACTGTCTTTAATGATGATCGTGTCTTCGATGTATAGATTAAAAAATAGCAGTGACAGTGTGCATCTTGTTTGACTCCTTTACTAATATTTACTTCTCTACGTTGCAGTCCCAGTTCTATAACTGCTGGTTGCTCCTCATACAAACTAAATTTGGTTAAATATAGAATTATGCTAAATGCTTTTATTTATGTGATTATAACCAAACTATTGCATTAATATAAATATTATCGAATTCTCGTTCATTAAATAAATTTGGTTTGAGATCACGTAACTTTTAGAGCATTCTAAATCGTTAGGAGCAACCTTTTCTAAATGACCCGATCTAATTCTGATGACAGGGGATTAGCGATGACGTTAAACCAATCTTGACACAAATTCAATATCCGTCATCGATTTAATAATAAAGGACGAGAAGAAGCAGGACATGAATTCATTATTATACAAGGAGTGTGTCCAACAAGGATGTGGCAGGAGCAGCGGGGATTGAAATCGCGAGGTGGTTCTAATCCGATTGCCTAACAAAGGCGGTCACTAAATCTGGTTTGATTACCGACAGAACAGGACAAATGCAGCATTAAATCACACTGTTGTGTTTCGGGTGTCTGTCGGATTAGGCCGGTGACACCAAATAGACACACACATACACATACACAGACGCACACATCGAAGCACGTAAAGCCAAAGACAACGAAATAAGGGAATTTACTCACGTCATGGAACCAGGTTATCTTGTGCTCCTTAGGGTTCGCACGGATGCTGCATTCGAAATAGACATCGTCGCCTTCCTTGATGTCCTCCGGGTTCAAGGTGCTGCCAAGGTTTAGCGACACTTGCGGCGGATCTGCAAACCAACAAGAATTAATGCCAAATACATTACTGGACTATTAGTTACCATTATTTTGAAATATTACATGTAATGGTCTTTTCAAAAAAATTTTAACACAAGCTCGTATATGTAATTTTCAAGTAAATACAATAATTTCCGTGTTAAATTCTGGATTTACATGGATGGGACAAAAAAGAGTTACCCACGGATTAGAACATATTCCAGTATCCCTAACAACAATCGAGCGGCCTGAGTTACAGGTTAAGACTATATTGGGGCAGTAATAATAATCCTTAGATAATCTTTCAGTTATTTTCTGTCTTTATTTCATTCGTCTTATCTTCATCCCCCAAAAACCAACTACCTATTTCCACGAGCCTTGAAAAGGGTTTTCCGGCTTATTTGCCCGCTTTGCACCACAGTAGGGTAGCACTATTTTCGGTAATTTTTTACATTAGTTGACAGAGAAGTTCAGACATGAAGTTTAGTCAGGTAGGTAGTGCTCACCAAGTAGAATCGTCTGGTAGTTTTTATTAGAATTTTGTTTATTTTTTATTTTTATTATTAATAAAACTGANAATGGAAATGATAAGTATCATTTTTGTGTATGTTCCAATTAAAAAATTATTTAACAATAATTCGAAATAGAATGAGTAATTATTTTCATTATTAGTGATGAGCAAAGCAAGCGGACCAAGAAAACTGTCACAGTCTTTGCACTGGTCTTGGTCTTGCTTATTCTGTCTTGGTCTTACTCAAACACTTCTAGTCTTAATCTTGGTCTTGGTTTTAGTCTTAGTCCTGCGTATTAAATTGTGGTCTTGCTCATTAAATCGGATCACGAGATCAAAATGTTCAGTCTCTCAGAGTCTTTGAAAGCGAGACTCGAGTCTCCGTCTCTTATCGAGTCTCTCTGGTGTCGCTGAGAGAGACTCTCGAGAGACTGTCAAAAAAACTAATTAGTCGCTTTTAGAGAGATCATCATTTCGTATCCAGTCTCAGAATGAGAGACTCGAATCTCTCAATAAGTGGTGTCTCGATAGACATGTTTAAAATTTTCTAAGTTCAACATATTTGAGAGATCCCAGACTTTCTACTAGAGACTCGAGTGTCTCAATTTTTCAGTTTTATTCATTCAGTCTCTCTGTGAGAGACCTGAATCTCTGAATTAACAATTTTATCGTTCGAGTCTCTCATACAGAGACTGTGAGAGATCCATAAAAACACCTAGGCAATAACTGAGAGACTGTGAAAGACTGTGAGAGACGCTCTCAGAGACGCTGAAAGA